ACAATAATAATAATAATAAAATTACTTACTTTCCATTGATGGCGATGAATTTGGCAAAAGAATATTTATTAACGAATTTCCATTCCCTAATCAATAATATAAAATTATTTAATATATATAATAAAATATTTATATATTGTTTGAAACATACTTACTATCTACTTCTATTTATTCGAGTATATCTTCTTCCGTTGTGTAGTTGGATAAATAGGAAGTTGACTCGAAAGTCCGTATACATGACATAGTTTTTGACACTCCGCATCAATATCATTAATTATCAAATCCAAGTTCTGATTTGGTCTACCCTTCAAACGAAGTTGTTTTCTCCGTCTTAATCGAACAATTTTTTATTCCGCTTGCACAGTATTCATCTACACACAAAATAAATAAATAAGAAAAACATATTTATCTAGTTTAAAAAATACATGAATTCAAAAATAAAAAATAAAAAATCATAATTTTTACCATTTTCCATAAATTTGACAAAATTATTTTTTATTCACATACATTCTTACTCTTTTAATCTTTTGTACAAAATTATTTTGTATTCACGTACATTCTTACTCTTTTAATTTTTTGTAATCTTACACATTAATGATGTTGAATCTCCCATCGAATTTACCTTTTCTAAGTTAGCGTAATGATCGAGCTTAAAGACAATGCAATGAGACGCGAAATTGAAAACTATACCGAACGCTCTTATAATTTTGGAATTTTTTTATTTTTTTAATAATTTTACTTTTTTTTTTGGAGATAAATTTGGAATTTTATTTTATTTTTAAACTAATTTTACTTTTTCTTTTAAATTATTTGTAAATTATTTTTCTAAAATTAACAAAATAACTAAACATATTGATATATTTAAATATTTCGCATATGTCATGAGGAATAATAACAAATTCATCAAATAATATATCATAAATCTTTTTAAATCATAATTAATCAAATAAATTTACCAATCACGTTCTATATAGTTATTTAATTCTATAAATATATATGATATGCATATATGTATATAATTATCCTAACATCTTTTTATTAATATTTGGTTTTCGATTTGGAAAAGAATGTATTTACATGAGTCGTGATATTTTTATATATTATATTTTTTATTTTGATTAAATCTTTCATTTTATTTTAAAATAATTTTTTGTAATTTGATTTAATTTCTTCGTTCAATAAAAAATATATTGCAATTATTAGCGTGTTTTAAATTTAATTCTCAATTTACAATTCAAATATTTTTGCTTTTAAATTAGCATGCGAAAACAAATGCGGATATATTTTTTTTTAAATAGGCCAATGCTAATATTTTTTTAAATAAGTCGCGTTGTGTTCCTTTGAATTTCCAAATTTACTGTTTAATGAAAATTACGTGCTAGACCAAGACCTAGCACACAGAAACTGCATTCTTATAGAGTGTGTTTCTTTCGATGAGTTTGGAAAAAAAATAGTTTGAGTTTAATATGAAAATAACGTTTAATGAGATGTTTTATGAGATGAAAAAATATATTTTTTTTGGAAAAAAAACAGAATTCAAATAGTAAAATTCGGGGAAATTGGCTTAAAATCAATTTCTCATTGAGTTTTCATTATCCCAAATAAATTCTCTCACTTCATTTTCATATCTTGCCCACACTAAAATTCAACAGGGTATAATTAGTAAATAAACAAAAATATATTAGTAAAAATAATTATGGTATAATAAAAATAATTTTAAATTAAGATTAAGATAATCAATTAGTTTAATTAAAAATTAAAAAATATATAAATTAAAAAATATATATGTGATTAAAGTCTATAATATTTTTTTAAAAAAAATAACAGAATAAGTGAGACATAAAAAAGTAAAATAAATGAACCGGATGAAACATATTATAAATTAAAATAAATATTTTTATTAATAAAAAATCCATTTATTTAATATAATATAATTATTACCTAATAAATCATTATTCACTAACACTCCTCGTAGTCCAACCAAATCTACTAATTAAAAAATAAAAAAAATTTTCAAATAACATTCTATTTTAAAATCAAACCAAACAAATTAAAAACTAAATGAGGGGATGGTAATCAATTGGCGGTGAGTTTTGAGATTGAGTTTAAATTGAAATTGATTTTAGTGAGGGCATGGTAATCGATTGAGTCTGAATTTAATTTGATTTGATTTAAATTTAAATTTAAATGAATTGAGAGTTTTGAGTTAATGTCATAATTAATTATGAGAAATATATAAATAAATTAATGAGATTAGATCAATTAATTAAAGCCGAAAAGAAACATAATTAACCAACAAAAATAATAAACAACACTATTGTATTACGACGGAGAGAGTAATATTTTATATTAATTGCAGTTATACTTCCTCTTGTCCCGCTCCAAAGGAGTCTTCGATCTTTTGTAGTATATTAATAAATAAAAGTATTTTATTGGCAGGTTTGGATATTTTGATCATTTGATTTTACGTATAAAATAATTATATTTGTAATTTAAAAAAAAAATTAAAAACATTTTGGTATTAATATACAATTTTTTTAATAAAATATATAAAAAAATCTTAGAATAGAATAAACAAAAATAATATCGAATTATTAAAATATCTTGCATATCATACTAAAAAACCCCAAAATTCCCAAAACTTTTGGTATAATAAAAATTTCAGTTCCGTGAGATATTATACCAAACTTTCTCACGATATTTAGTATATAATATGACATTATCGATATATATATATGGAAATACCGAAATTATTCCGGTATACAACGAAACTAATATATATTATATTGATATTTTAGTATTCGATATACCGGTTATATATCGATAATTCGGTATATTGATACAAAATTATTTTTTCTTAATTTTTTTCTTAAATTATAATAGCATTAATTTCAATTTGATATTTCAGTATGAAACAATATATACTGATACTTTATGAAACGATATTTCAGTATACCGAATATTTAGTATGGTACAATATATATATATATATTTGTTACCGAATTTTTTATATTTTTGGTACGACATCGATATATTTTTTAATATAATGAAAGTTTTAGAACAATAGAGATATGATTCAGTATACCATACTAAACCATTCCCATTTTTAGTTATGTTTATTTATAATAAACAAAAATTGGTATGATCCAAAAATTTGACTCTAGTACCGAAAAATTAGATTCGAGTGGGGCCGAACCGAGCTAAACATTTTTTTAAAAAATAATAATAATTTTAATATTTTAAATATTGTATTTCATAATTGATAAACACTGACGACATATTCGGTTAAGATTTTAGATTTTGGATTCAAATTTTGAATAATAATATTTTTAATTTAAATAGTTATGTGTTTGTTTGGGGATTTGGATTTTGAGTTGGGATTTGAATAGTAAAAATTTTGAATTTGAATAGTTGTATGATGTAAATAGGTGTTGATGTGATGTTTTGAATGTAAAATTGATTTTTAGTATAATATAAAAAATAAAAAATAGGTGTTTGATTTGATGTTTTTGGAGCAAAAAAATTGGATGAATAGTATAAATCCAATTCAATCCCCCAAACAAACACACCCTTGATGTATTATACTGTTGGTGATCCGAATGTATAATTAATTTATAATGTAAAAATATAGGAATTTGATTTGATATTTTTAAATTTTTATTTGTTATTTTTTTTACCTGAAATACATACATAGATACTGATCATTCCCTCCAAATTGAGAAGAAAATATGTAAATAAATTAAGAAGATGACGCCCCTCCTCCTCCTCCTCCTTCTCCTCTCCATAGATGCTCTCCTTCATGTCATGTCATGTCCGCTTGCGCCGTATTTCTCAGCCGACGAGGAAGTTGGAAGCCGTTATTATTCCAGTTGCGCTGAGCTCGATCTTGTGGAGCTGGATCGAATTGAAAACGTCTTGGCAATCATAATTATACGACGAAATTTACAGGAAGAATCGTCGATAACGATGATTCAGCAGCAGAATCATCATATTGGATTTGGATCGAGCCGACGACAACCACAACCACAGCCACTACTACTACTACTATCTGAGCTTCAGCAGAATCCTCAACAAGTTTTAGATCCTCCTTCGACTTCGACTCAATGACAATGGCGGTGACGATCATGGCATATATCCATCCTATTCCTTTAGGAGGGCATATTAGTAATTTTACTGATGGTCTCGTCGATTTGGAAAGAGCATACAACTTGCGCTTGCGCTTTAATTTAAGGGAGCGTCTTCTCGATCTCACCAATGAATTAATATGATAGGTTGTTTTTAGTAAAATAATGGTTTAACCTATCTATTCTAGAGCTGGCAAAAACTGACCCGATACGACAATCAGACACGAAATAATTGGATTTGGATCAAAGATTTCAATCCGATTATGTATACGGGTTGACACGAATCCGACACGATAATAAACGGATCTGATTAGGGTTGAGACTCTCAGCTCGAACCCGACACGACAATTCGATTATAATATATTAATATTGATTAATATATTTATTATATATAAAAAATATCATAATTTAATAATTTTTTCATAAATTAATTTAAACTAAGTTCAATTTTAAATAATTCAACATAATTTACACTCAAACCAATAAAAACTAACATAACACGACAACGAAACAAAAAATTATTTAATTTGAATCAAGAAATTAGACTTAACTATGTATACGGGTCAACACGATCAACCCGAATCCGACACGATAATAAACAGTTTGGTTTAAAATTGAGTAATTTAACTCTTTTAAGATAGTCAATCTCACACAATTGGACCCATTGCAGGCTCTACTCTATTCTAATATGTGGCCGTTGTGTTGATTAATTGATTTTTCAGTTTTAATTATATATATATATATATATATAAAATTGAAAGACATACATGCATACATACTCGCTCACTCATTTTCGATCGACCAGCTACAAGAACATACTTTGAATTTCTCCTCTTCCTTCTTGGTTGTTCCAAGATTTCGATAGGTTCGAAGAAGATGAATTATTGTGCATCGTGCCGGTATCGTCGCAGTCGTTGCTCTTCTTCGTGTCCGCTTGCGCCGTATTTCCCGGCGAACGAAGAAGGAGAGAGGAATTTTCAGGCGGTTCACCGTGTCTTTGGCGTGAACAGAATCGCCAACATTCTTCGGCAAATCGAGTCTTCAGACTTGCGCGACGATGCTGTTAGATCCCATATACTCGAGGCTCAGTATCGCCTCCAATATCCGGTATACGGCAGCGTCGCCGTCATCGTTCCTCTGCTGCACCAGACGCGACAGGCTTTGTTGGAGCTGGATCGACTTCTAAACCTGCTACCGCACAACAACAACACTTCTACGCCAGTATTAAACGATCAAGAAACTTCTGGGAATGACAATCCCAATCAAGAAATCCTTCGTCCTCCGCCACAATGACAACTTCAATCAAGAAATCCTTAGTCTTTCCTTCGTCCTCCAATGGCAATTATGGCAATGAACTACGGATATGTCTGTCTGTTTCAGAGATGTGAGGGACTGTGTTAGTTGAGTTGACACACACATACAGAAATATATATACACGAACCCGGCGTGCGCGATGCTGCGCCGGTGTGTACAATAAAAATAATTTCGTATAAAACATATACATACAAATACACATGTGAAACAAGTAAACAAGTTCGATATGATTGCAACAAAATCAAAGTAAAACAACCTCAACTTAAAACGTGATGCAAATTTTAGGTCACTTACTGTACTTAGAGAGATCAGGAATGCTAGTGGCTGGAAGTGAGATTGAAAATAAAGAAAGCTAAGCCTAAACCATAGACCCCATTTCCATAAAATGATATATTTTTATTTTTGTAAATTTAAAATAATTACTATTATTAATTATTATACATAAATTATTTTATTTATAAAATATATAAAATTTTAAAACTAAATCAAATAAAAAAAATAAAGGTTATTAATTTATTTATATATATTAAAATAATAATTTAACATAATAAAAAAATATATACGAAAGATTTATTATTTTATATTTTACATAATTTTAATAAAAAATTATTATTTTTTAGTAAAAATAATTTTCTCAAATTTAAATAATAAAAATAAAAATAAATATTTTATAATATTTTTATAATTTTCAATAATTAATAGCAAAAAATTTCATAAATTTTAAACCAAAATGAACAAAATTAAATATTTTAAAAAATAGCATATCAATATCATTAATAGTCATTTTATTATATATAAACAGCTAATGTCAAACAGTTATTTTACCAAATACTTTAATACAAACCACTAATTGAATCAATTAACAGCTGCTAATTAAATAAGCTAACAGGTAAAAACTATCTGTTAATTGCCAAACGCACCCTAAGTAAAATAAGAAGACAAACATCTTCTATTCCAAAAAATTTAAAACATGCGGATGACAACGAAAGGATCATTTTAGTAAATTCCACAAAAAGAAGATATGTTATATGATTATTACCAATCTTCTTTTAGGTGCGTTTGTCTGGGGGATTGGATTTTAAATCCACTGTTCATCCCATTCCCAAAAAAAAATATATCAAATTAAACATCTATTTTTTATTTTTTATATTATACTAAAAATCAATTTTACATTTAAAACATCAAATCAACACTTATTTATATCACGTCATACAACTATTAAAATTCAAAATTTTTACTATTCAAATTCCAACTCAAAATTCAAACCCCAAACAAACACAAATGTAAGTAATGAAACATCTACAAGCATCAGTAAAGTCATAATATATTCCATGTAAACCAACTACATGTAATCAAAAAATATTATGGTTTAAATTATTCCTCAGTTAAAAAAAAAACAAAGGACAAAAATGCATAAGACCAATTTCACCTAACCACTTAAACTATTCCTCAGTTAAAGTACCATAGTAAATCTAAATTACTAACAAACACATACAACCTTAAAAGAAGTATTATTCGTAAAGTCAAGGTATCAGTTCTTTCTTGAATTGCCTTTTTCCGTTGGTGTCATCCTCACTCGTAAATGATTAGTGTCCCTTTCGAGGTTAAAAGCGGTAGATATCCTTGTTCCTATAGGGATCTATATGCTTTGATTGGAACTTGAAAAGCTAGAGCCTTAACTTGAGATTTTAAGAGGTGTAACCAATATGAGAAACATTATGAAGTGAATTCTAATATTGAAAAACTTAACTTTAGAACAATGTTAGCAATTAGTATTGTTCTCAATATTAAGCAATATAACCAATATATGCAATGGATGAAAAATCACCATTAGTCGCATATTATTGCATTATGATGTGTGATATTGTATTTAGGGTAAAAAGGTCATTTCCCCTAAATTCGTGTATATATAGGAAAAAATGAAACAAATTGTAAATGTTCGATAACAAATATGTGTGTTTGCTTAGGCAAAAATATAAAATTCAACCCAAGAAACTTTTTGGGACATAATATATGTGAGAAACAAAACTCAACTAATTTTTAGATTTGGATATAAAAATATATATATATATAACCTGACTTGTTTGGACAAAGCGCTTAATCAGAAATCGGAAACTTTGAAGTTTCCAACAGCATCCAAAAGAAAAGTTTTCTGGCTGTCGTCAAAGGTAATCGTTAGAAAGATTCAGCATATGAATTTAAGTATTACTGAAATAAGTTACCAGCCGCATGAACTATCTTTATATATTTATAGAAGACTCCCATGTTGGCTGCTATGGCAATAGAAACAGCATTAATAAGCTCCTGAAAATACTCCCGCTTCATCTTCTCGCATCCTTCTATGGCTCATCTTCATAGTGCAAATTACTATTTATAAAAATATACTTTAAAAATTAATTTTGACTAACATGTAAACATAGTTCTAAAGAAAATTTGCATAGAAATATATATATACATTGTAAGTATTACATGGTGTGCCCCTTAATGTAAATACTTAGTGAGGTTATGAAGTGCAAAATTACACGTTCAATGAAAATGCAAAACTAAATGCTTCAAAATCTGAAAAATATTTTAAAATCACAAGCATACCCTCTGAACTCCAGCCTGAACGTAGTCGAATTTGAAAATAAAATAGCAACAGCACACTCCAGTGCTAGCGTAATCAAATTTGAGAATAAAGTAAAACCATTATTCCGAATTTGAGCTATCGCCAATCCGTTGCACTTCTAGATTATCTTATTCCTCACATCTGCCTGATCGATCGTTCATTCCCAAAAGCAATAACCGTGAGTAAATTCTACAAAAAATATTGAAACGGAAATCTGCATAAAGGCTTGAAGTTTCCTTTGGGGGAGAAGGCGATGGTGGGCCAATCTTGGAGGTGAGAAATTTCGCCAATGAGGTAGCAATAGCTGATTCTTGGCGACTACTGTCTTATATATTGTGAAGGTTGCGCCAGGCTATAAATAAGAAATAGTACTTCATTTCAGTTTTGAGAGTTAATAAAACACTCTAATTTGTCGGGTACATCTTATAGTGTTCTTACTTTAGTGTGCATTAGACATGTGTGCGAGGCTGCACTAGCGAGTTCTCGAGGGAGTCTAAAAATCGCTAAACCGACGGGAAGGTGATCGAGGATGAACCATCCCACCCGTTACAAGTGGACAGTGGGGTGAAAAATGGGGTTGAAAGGAAAAACTTAGATGAAGAGTCATTTTGTCGAACAGATTGTGAGCGTGAACCAGAAGCCAGAACTTCGACAAAGGCTCGAGTAAAGTGGATGCCGACGAATCCATATCCGCAACCAAAGCTCATTAAAATGAACTTTATCTTATTTCCCTCAAAATTGGGGGAATTCGGAGGGAAAGGAAATATAATTTTGTTTTTAATTTATAAAATTATTTTTATATTCTTAATATTATATATTATTTTATCTGTATTAATTATACAAAAATTATATTATGTGTATTTTATAATTAATATTTTCTCATTGCCATGTTGGATGTTTGGGTCACTATAGATATTAGGAATTAGTAGATAATTAAGAATGTATTAGTAAAAATAATTATTTTATAATATAAATAATTATAGATTAAAGTTAAGATAACTAATTAGTTTAATTAAAATTTAAAAAAATTAAATTAGAAAATTTATTAAAAAAAAAATTAAATTAGAAATTTAAAATGAGATTAAAGTGTATAGTCATTTAAAAAAAAAAGATGAGACGGACAAAAACGGTAATATGGACATAATAGGTGGGATGGAGGGAGTAATTAGTTATAATATTTTTAAATTTTATAATATAATTAAATTATAAAACAAAATTTTATATAAGGTGAAAAGTTAAATGATGGATGAACGACGACGGGGCGATTACGGCAGAGAATCAGAGAGGACGGGAGACCAGGGCAACATAACAAATACTAATGGAGAAGAAGGCCAGCAGAGGGTAAATCCGTAATTTAAAATAAAGGGTATAATGGTCTTTTTAAGTGGCAGAAGTACAAAACTCTCAATTTTAAGTTATAATAATATATATATATATTGTGGTGATTAACATGGAAGATATTAAGCTAAATAATTATGCATTCACAATAAAAGTGAAAGAGATTTCTGTTCAAAACTGCACAGATTTGAAATAACGATTCTCGTCGGATCAAATTGAAGAAACTGTTGATTGAATGTCTATAGTTCGATCAGAACTTTACAAAATATATGATAGATTTATGGGTTTATTATCTTGATCTTCATTCTTCTGGTTTTAATTGGTTGATTTGGTGATGGTTATGACATGTTTATATGCAATTTTGAAGAATTTTGTATCCAATTTGATTACAAGAGTAATTTTCTCCCTTTATCTGGAAGGTTTTACATGTTATATTTTTCATATTTTATTTTCGCATATAATTTGTTATCATTTTTCGTATTTTCCAAGAGAATTACGATTTTCTATTACTGAAATTCTTATAGTAAAATTCTATATTCAGTTTTTAAAATTTCAAACTCGATTATGTGAAAATTAATTCTCTTGTTCTTATGCATTCGTTTTTGTTTTCACTAATTGATTATCATGGACAGCAGAAAAAAAAAAAAAGGAAAAAAAATATCACAAAAATTAAGTAAAAACAAATGTATTTATATATATATATACAACATATATATTCAATTAATATAGTTTTGAATATTATATAATGACATTTTTTTTCTAATTCATTTGGTTTTAAATATTATATTCTAGTATATGTATTTGTAGATTATATTCAAATTTTAAATATTTTAATTTGAAGAAATATTTGAAAAATTGATACAAACGTCTTAATATATAAAATTTTATTTTTATTTTATTACTTTTATTCTTTATGCAATTTTTAATTATCTATTGTGGTTTTTTTTTGTTTTAATTGATTTAGTTAGAGTATTATATTCTAATATATATTTTTCAATTTGATAGATTATGCTTGTTTTTTTATAATCTATAA